CAAGCACGTATATGCCATTAGTGATTTCAAACTTAAATTACTCAACCATCGTAGTTGTGTATTTACATTTACAGGTGCTATTTTCAAATCCCGCCAAGGCCGTTTAATTTTGCAACAGAAACTGCAGTTCTTTAGTTGCTAATATCCAGTCAAAGCCGTCCAGTTTTCCCCTTGAGAAAGTACTTTTCTAGTTTACTATTTAATTACCAGTAAATTGTTCTCGATAATCACCTAAATGCAATCAGAATACAGCTCCATTATTATAACAGATATTATTACTACTATCATAGCCACTTTCTTCATGCCGACTGAACAACAACCTAACAATAATAAATTCCACCGTGGTTTCTCGCTTGGAACTTTTTTTCTTTCTACCATCTTCACTTTCCGGACGAAACCCCGATCAATACCATTGGAATTTCGAAAGTAACAAGGGGCTAAGTCAACAGGATCTGACCCGAAACTGGCTCAAATTTTAAATCCGGTTGGACCGAGAAGACGCTGATGACTACAATAAAAAAAATAATGATGATGACTTCATAAAAGTAACGTGTATTTGTAGGTACGTAAACGAAGATTCAAGACTTTCACCTAACGGCCGCTACGTGGCAACAAACGAATACTTCGATAAGGACAGTTTTTTTTAGTCGAACTAGAGCTGTCTGCGATTTTCTGTTCGTGTAATAAGGCAAATGATCATTAAACCGGAAGCTCTTCGTCACTATGCTGACCTGGATTATGCACTCATGAATGGAGTGGTGATTTTTTGATAACTTTGTTTTTGTTTATTTTTCTGATGTGATTGATAGTGGACAAAAGGTGATACGTTTGGATGGGCTCGTCCTTTAATTTCTTGTGTTGAAGTTCGCATTCATTCTCATCATTGGTATGACCCTGAATGTAAATTAGACAATTCTTTGTGTTAAGTTCATGGAAGAATGACGCGCATGTAGTGGTTCAGGTTGATATACGCAGATGTACTATTAGTCACTTTTTGTTAAGACCTTTACTTTAGTAGAATACTCTTTGTTTGTAATTAAACAAAGGTCATTGTGTTTCAATGTGGAATTTTGTAGATTAAAACGAAATTTATACAATGCAAAAAATACTCATTTTAGTTATATAAGTACATACTAGCTGTTAATACACCCTACAATTTGTATAATTATAATCTTATCAAGTGTCAAAAAATGATAAATGTATAAATAAAAATGAGGGATACTTTTTAATAAGATTAAAAAAAAAAAATTAAGGATGACTTGTGATTTATAAATTTATGTTGGCAAAATTGAGGCAGTTGGCAATACTTTGAACTTTTGAAATCTTTCAGTAAGGTTTAATCACGTCGTTTCTGCCCCGAGCTGAATTATTTTCAGTACTAGGATTTTTCTTCAAATTTCCTCTCCTCAGTTCTACATTTTAGGACTAATCTATAATTAGTAATGTGTAAAAAGTAACACTTTAATGTCAAATTAACACATATCAACTACGGCACTCTAGATTAACCATGCCTACATTGTCAATTTATTTTATTACCTGGTGGTAGGAGGGAAAAGTCCATTATTGGATAAGGTACAGAACATCAATTTCTCAAGCATTAAACCGATATATGTATAATGATAAAGACAGCTAGTAGAGAAAAATATGTTTTAAACATTTCATTAATTACCTCGGGAAATTCAAAGTTATTTAGTTTTATCAGTGGGTAGTAGAGTCGATTGGTTAATTTATCAGCAGTGTGCGTATGCAGTGGAAAGTCTTATCCTCATCATACATTTAATAGACTGAAGTAATGGTCATATGCAATACTGTGGTCACAAAGTTGCAGTTTTTCACAATAATAACGAAGTATTTATATTTAATACAATTTTTAAGATCATAATTTAACAGTAACAATATAGTTTTGTTTACATTTTGCTAATAGAAAAATAGTAAAACGTCAGTAATGTAATGACTAGAGAGCGGATTTCTGTCGGGCTAGACAAGGCCAAACTCGGTACGGCTCGTACGGGATGGGAATTTATTGCAGTTACCGGCTGCACTTCGTTTATTAGAGATTAGAATAACGCTGCTTCGTTGCACTCTGCTGTTAATTCCAGTTCTCATTTACTTAGCCGTTTGATTAATAAATCGTTAATTGTATTTATGGAATCAAATGACAATTAAATTCAGTGATTACCTATCACCCGCTACTGAGTCCCGGCGATGCAGCGCGTCCCCACCTATATCGTGACGTAGCCCGACAGAAATCCGCTGTCTAGTAATGACAGAAAATACGGCAGTTGTGAAAAAATGCTAACAACTGGGATAGAAAACAATGTTGTAATATCTAGAACTAGTTTTCTACCATAGATAAAATTTTAGTGTCTGTATGTTTTTATTCGTTTAATTAATAAATTCGTGTGAAATTTTACGTTTGAATGTTTAAATTTTAAAACTCTGCACACTTGCATTTAGTGTGTAATAAATTCCACAACAAAAACCGCTAGGTCTGTTGAGTAACTTTCTACAAATCTGATTTTAATGCAGAAATCATAAATGATTCGATTTCTTCTTCACTGTAGTACTTTATCTAAGCCAAGTGAAGTTTTAAGCCAGTAGTTTCAGACACAGCTCATTTAGCTTAACCTCTAAATGAGATCTTTGTTAGTCATGCTGTTGAACATCTAACAAGTATGAAACTATTCTTTTAGTTTAACATGAAAGAGCACTCTATCAACTCTGATGGACTCAAAAAATGGTTATCTTGTAGTGTCAAAATTACAATATCATTAGTTAATATGCATACTTGCTCTATATTTTTTATGGTTTCTGGTTTAATACCAACTGTATGGACAGTATCCAATTGGGTTCATTTCAAAGCTTTACTTGGTACCTAAATACTGTTTAAATTTTATAATATGACACTCTCCTGTACTTGTAGTCTATGAATTTGTCTTGAATTTTTCTGAAAAAAAAAATATTAAAAAATGTGCTTGTGTTGCCTCAGTCTATTAATGTTATTTAATTTTATTGTAAGATTAGAACTCAGCAAAATTCGGCAAGTTTTCTAGTGTCACATCAGGATAAAGATTTTTATTTGCATCATCGGGATTTGAAAAATGGACTATGTAATTGGGAAAATTTTCAGCGAAACAATGCAATTCATAAAATAATTTCTTAATACCCATAAGACCATTCGCCTCATATACGCACTAATCAAATTTGTGTCATTTAGACAACCGAACAAGATGGATGGATAATCAGTTTTACTGTTTGAAACATGGTCATGTGTAGACAAAAGACTAACTAGGTAGCGTTCAATTAGGCATAAGAAAATCGTAAATCAAAATAAAAGTGGAAATATCTTATCGTTAGGACAATATAATTGAAAGTTTATATCCCACAGGCCCACGTTTTGTTGACTTGAATGCTAATTCGTTCTGTGAAGAATGTTTTTTTAAAATTTTTATTTGTTTTTATTCGAATAGCTGTTGGTAGGTTATTATCTTGCCAACATAATGCAACTGACACATTAAAAATATAATAACAATAACAGATAACTCAGGTATATGCTAAAATATTTATAATATATTTTTGGACGACCATTGCTTTTTCGATCATTTACCGTATAGGTTTCCGTAGCAGTAAGTTCAGTTTACGGGTTGCTACGACTAACAACTAAGAGGCGAACGGTAAGTAAATTACTTATTGTTCAGCTGAACGGTAAGTAATCACGCATTCAAGATTTTTTTAATTTTAAATTCCATGCTTGTTCGACTTCGATATTTTCGTTTTCAGAATCATTCATGATTGATATTTTAAGCAAATAAATCACTCACTAATAGTCGCGGAAAGAAAATTAACTCGAAATCAAGCCAGATCAAATCTAAATCGACAGCGGTCAAAATGGAAACTGATTTTTTAAAATTGTTGTTTATATTAATCGAAACCATAGTAACAAATTTTAAATAAAAAAAAGACCTTGTTGATGTTTGATATAAATTCTTTCAATTTATGAATTTGATAAAAAGACGCAAATCTTAATATACTATATCCGCTCTCCAGTGATAAATTGATTAATGATTATACATATTTCAGTTTCAATAAAATCTCTGTCGAAATTTGTGGTTCTAATACCAATCTGGTACCAATTTCGTACTTAATTTCACTTGATTATTGTTGTTATTTAATGCTATTGTTCTGATGACAAAACATTTATGAAATGCTAATTGTAATGAGTTCTGCTGAAGCAAATATTTAAATATTACCACTACATTGATTAGCTTACTTATGTCCATAACTTCTTATCTATTAATATTGTTTTGGAGCTCGAGGCCTAAGTGCAGTTTCCCTTAAAAGTTAAGATCTTTTAATACACACACCAAGAAACGCATTTTTATTTCTTTAGGCCTAAGTCGAATTATAGTAAAAACTTTCTGAGAGTTTCCGGCTTAAAAATAACTATTTGGGTGCTTTACCGACAAAACAGTTGTCTCAGATTAAACAATCTTTACATGACGTCGCATGTTTAAGTTTTTTAATCAAAGAGCAATTATTATTTTAATTAATTAGTTTTTATCACTAACAAACTTGCTTTGCGACTGCTTGACTACACACAAATTCCGTCCAAGTGAGCGAATTCTAAAGAAGAATAAATTTATTTTTTATGAGTAAACAAATCCCTCAAGGTGAGACCTAAACCAACAAAGCAGGTTTTTCAAGTTTTAATAATTTTGTACTTCTGCGTTATCAGAAAAATTGTCCTAGAAAAACAACCTCTTTCATATTTCGTCTACAGCAAGCGTCACCAAAGACCAAAACTGTTACGAAATTTTTGACAACAATGTGTAAAAAAACAATTTATGCTACATAATACTGTTGTAATTATTGACGTATTTAAACTTATTTATAGTATTCCACGACGTATTTCTTGTCGCCACGTTCTCTCGAGCTGTTCTAACGTAATTCTGCGGCTCTACATACATATCTAAAATTATTTTTTTTGTTCTTTGTTCCAGATTAATTATGTTAAGTGTACCGTTCACGCTATCAGTATGTATTGCAAGTCTTCTCTTTTTACGTGTTCGAGGTAATATTAATCCTTTCCCTTTCTAAATTTTGTGTAAAACTGATGCAATTGTGCAGCGATGCCCGCCGTCATAACTGCCAATCCACCACCAGCAGAATCAAGTTTTCAAGATGACTGGGACTACAAGCAGGAGCAACATAAAGTTCCGCTCCTGCAGACCGGGCGTCACAATCATGTTTTACCCCCGACAGCCAATGCGACTGTAAGTAGGTAAAACACAGGTAATTTTTCATTTTACTTAGATTTTAGAACGGAAGAGAATTACGAAATTATTCAATGATTTGAAATTAAATACAGAAAGGTTTGCACAGATATATTTTGTGGTTGAATATGACTTCACTTCAGTTTATTATGTCTAATATTCGTATACGTTCATTTCTATGGCATGATTTTGATAACCTCATTATGAAAGTTATCATGATACATTTTATATTCCATTTTGAAATTTAAGACTATTTGTCTAAATTTGTCTAAAATATAAATCATTTAAATTTTTCTTTTCCTGACTTTACAACCTTTGGCTTTTCAACAGTTCATTATAAAATTATGGAAACTAACATAAACTAACTAATACTATTCAGATTTTAATATTTTCAAATAAGAACTTCGAATTACTTTCCTTATAGTGCTGAGATGGTTTCCTGTCTCAAAGGTATTTTTTTACTTCTGCTTTTTTTATTATGTTTTCACACACTCAATCATTGTTCATGTTTATTAACTTTTTTCCAGGATCAACCATTTCTTCTAAAAATGCGAAATGTATATTTTACGTCAGATTCAAAAATTTGTACAAATTTAGGTACACAGTGTCACACTTTTGAGGTACGAGGTTTAAATACTTACACAAATAACGTCACTATTGCCGCACTGGAGGTTGTTAAACGTGTTGCTTCTATATCTGTTGCCTTTGTAGTTATCGGGTTATGATAAAGTTTGGATTCATAAACAAGCTTACATTTTGAAAATAAATTCCTTGCGCATGGAATATATTTTTAAAATAATTATGTTGGCATTGCAACTATTTGTCAGTTTATTTGACTGTGATACTCAAAGCGAACAAGGAACGCGTGGGTGTTGCCAACATAATTATTTTCAAAATAAATTTCATGGCGTACCAGAAGACTTTTTTTAATGCTTGAGGGAGTTCTTTTTCCAAATATTCTTATCGTGAAATTATCACACATGACAGAAAACGATGATCACCTCTATTGTGAGGGCGTCCTACATATACCACAAAATAAACAAAAATTGCCGACTTTATGTGCGTGCAATAACAACAATAAAGTTAGTACGGAAAGCAATCAAAATTTAATTTTAATATTTTGTTCTCAAGCCCACGGTACATTTATAATTTAGTGTGTATGTCTCGATAGAAAATAAATGTCATAAGTGCGTTAACAATTTATATTTTTGTTTATTAATTGATTATTAAAACCTTGAGATTTTATTCTGAACAACAATTGCTGATTCAGTTTGTTTCAACAATTAATTTAGTTCGAAATTTGTAGAACTTTCACCCCCACCTTACTTCTTGTTGTCAAAACTGACATAATTGCCAACCACATTTAGTTTATATCAAAATTTGTCATTGTCATAGTGCCACTCATAACAAAAATTTAAATGTACATACAGACATATAATAAACATTTGATGTGGAGACTTACAAAACTAAGGTTTGTTATAGTCTTTCAAACTCTCATAATGAAGCACTACTTTCCACACTCGTGAAAAAAATAACTGTACACACAAGCAATTGTTGTTGTAGTCAGTTGTTTATAAACAATTTTACGGTTAATTGTATGGTGTTAATGATATTTGAAATTTGAAATTAAAGACGGGTAATAACTAATAATTATTTGCCATAATCAATAATTCTCCTTTAATATGCATGTATCGTATCGATTAAATCTATTGTAAGTATCAAGTTAGTGCTAATAACCTAAGTGACATAAAATGCATACTGTTCCACATTATACCTAATCAAGAAATAGGTGACACATAAAAGCAAGAATTAACATTTGGATTTTTATTTAACAAAAATATTGTATTTTCGACAGGGATGCTAGAAATTACGAAAGTGTTTTTTCTTTTAACAAATAACTGCAGTACCGGTTTTAGAAGTCAACGTCATTTGCATACTGAAAGTTTGGACCAAGCATATATTTTCACATTTATGAGTGTTTGTTATTTTTTTGTTTGTGTATTATATTTTAAATTTAAACACTTTTACTAATAATAATAATTCGTATAATTAATTTACGCGTCGACTCGTGAAAATATATTCTTGCTATATCCTTAATTAACTGTTAATTTAATAATACGTGTTTTAATTGTGAAAATTAATGTGCGATGTTTCATCTCAACTAACGAACCAAAATGCTTGTAAATAATCGTCATATTGGCATAGACTTGTCAAATTGACGTCACATATGACTTTATGACAAGGGAAGCTATTGTAAAAGTGAGTACAAATTACAAATTCCGGCGCGTTTACATTTCCAGAGATTATAGTGTAATGTAACAAATATTTAGGGACCCTGTACCAGGAACTATTTGTTGAAGAACCAGTGGCGGCTTAGCCTGGTTTGGCACCCAGGGCGGTTTTCTATTAAGCACTTCATTCATATAATAAAATAACAAATACTAAACGTGGGGTTGTAGAAGAAAAGTGGAGGATTTAAGTTGATTACTACAAAAATTTACCATTTTAGACATGTTTTAATAAGTTTTTTGTTGTCGAAATAAGTCTACACATACTAAGAAAAAAAAGGCAAAATATAGCCCCGCCCACCCGCCCTATCTCATTTGTGATGATTTTTTTTTATTCGTTGTGAGTCAAGGGGACGGAGCTTAACTGCAAAATCCTTATTTCTCTACGAGAAATTAATTTTTTTGAGTATCCTGTTGTTCAAAGAGTACTATGTATATTAAGAAAAAAATAAAGCCGAAGATTAGCCCCCACTCATACCCGCCCCGATTTCAATTCTCAATTGTGATGAATTTTTCATTCGTTGTCAGAACGAGAGGCGGGGCTTAATTGCAAGATCCATATTTGTCTACAAGAATTTACATTATTAAACATGTTTTAAGTTTCTCATTCTGAAAAGACGACTACGTATATTAAGAAAAAAGGGAAAATATAAGCCCCGCCTACCCGCCCTAACTCAGTTGTGATGATTTTTTTTTTAATCGTCGAGAGTTAAAGGAGCAGAATTTAATTGGAAAATCCTTATTATTTCTCTACAAGAAATTACCATGTAAGAAATTTTTTTGAGTATCGTATTATTCAAAGAATACTATGTATATTAAGAAAAAATTAAATCTAAAGATTAAGCCCCACCCATAATTGCCCTGATTTATATTTAAATTACTACATATAAAACTTCATTACTATTGTAATGAAGTTTTCATTGGTTGGCAGGCTAAGGAGCGGGGCCTAATTGCAAAATCCATATTTCCTTACAAACATTTACCACCTTAAACATGTTTTAAGTTTCTAAGAATAAAAAAAATCATCACAATTGAGATGGGGTGGGTGGGCGGGGTTTGTATTTTACCTTTTTCTCTTGGTATACGTAATATTCTTTGAACAACACGATACTCAAAACATTTCTTCTGGTAAAGAAATAAGCATTTTGCAGTTAAGCTCCGCCCCCTTAGTTTACAGGGAAAAAAAAATCATCACAATTGAAACAGGGCGGGTGGGCGGGCTTACATTTTGCCTTTTTGTTTGAATATGTGTAGACTTCTTTTCACAACATGAAACTTAAAACATGTTTAAAATGGAAAATTTATATAAGGCTATGTCGATTTTGCAATAGGCTCCGCCCCATAATTACAAAATCTATATTTTCTTACAAAAACCATTTTAACCTTATTTTAAGTTTCTTGTTATGAAAACATGGCTATGCATATTAAGAAAGAAAAAGCAAAATATAAGCCCCACCCACCCGCCTTATCTCAATTCTGATGATTTTTTTTCTTCGTTGTAAGCCGAGGGACGGGGCTTAATTGTAAAATCCTTATTTTTCTACTAGAAATTATCACATGAAATATGTTCTTAAGTAATCGTGTTACACAAAGAAAACTAAATGTGTTATTTAAAAAAGAAAACCAAAATAGAAGCTCCACCCATCCGTCTCGATCTCAACCGTGATGAATTTTTCATTCGTTGTGAGATTCAGGGGCGGGGCTCAATTGCAAGATCCATATTTGTCTATTTTAACACCAATAAATATTTAAACGAAACAGAGTTTATTTTCCACCCAAATGTAAACGTAAAAAGAATTAAACAGTCTGCAAGAATTTACAATTATAAACATGTTTTAAGTTTCTTGTTCTGAAAAGACGACTAGACGACTACGTATATTAAGAAAAAAGGGAAACTATAAGCCCCGCCCACCCGCCCTATCTGAATTGTGATGATTTTTTTTAAGTCGTCGAGAGCTAAAGGAGCAGAATTTAATTGCAAAATCCTTACTATTTCTCTACAAGAAATTACCATGTAAGACATGTTTTTGAAAATTGTGGCTCCATTCGTAATAAAGTTCTCTAATTTTCAGATCAAAATACTTCAAAACCTTCTTGCAAAATCCGATATCAAATTTTACTGTTTTACTTTTTTTAAATAAACTAGTCGTAATTTTCAAAAATTAAAAAGAGAGTTCCAGAGATTTTTAGGTGACGAACAAATAGACGTATCGTCCGTGTCTTCAAATGCTCATGAAGTTAAAATTTCGGATGGGGTTTTGGGTTATTTTTCATATATTTTGGAAAGGTGTGGTTCTGCCCTAAATGCAAAATTCTTATTATTTCTCTACAAGAAATTACCATGTAAGACATTTTTTTGAGTATCGTGTTATTCAAAGAATACTATGTATATTAAGAAAAAATTAAATCTAAAGATTAAGCCCCACCCATACTTGCCCTGATTTAACTAGTAATGAAGTTTTCATTGGTTGGCAGGCTAAGGAGCGGGGCCTAATTGCAAAATCCATATTTCCTTACAAAAATTTACCATTTTAAACGTGTTTTAAGTCTCTACAAATAAAAAAAATCATCAAAATTGAGATGGGGTGGGTGGGCGGGGTTTATATTTTGCTTTTTTTTCTTAGTATACATAGTATTCTTTGAACAACACGATACTCAAAAACATGTTTTAAATTTCTTGTGAAGAAATAAGTATTTTGCAGTTAAGCTCCGTCCCCTTGGTTCACAGCGAATAAAAAAAATCATCACAATTGAGATAGGGTGGGTGGGCGGGCTTAAATTTTGCCTTTTTGTTTGAATATGTTTAGACTTGTTTTCACAACATGAAACTTAAAACATGTTTAAAATGGAAAATTTGTACAAGGAAATATCAATTTTGCAGTAGGCTCCGCTCCATAATTGCAAAATCCATATTTCCTTGCAAAAACCATTTTATCCATGTTTTCAGTTTTTTGTTATGAAAACTTGGCTATGCATATTAAGAAAGAAAACGCAAAATATAAGCCCCACCCACCCGCCCGATCTCAATTCTGTTGATTTTTTTTTTATTCGTCGTAAGCCGAGGGGCAAAGCTTAATTAAAAAATCCTTTCTTTTTCTACAAGAAATAAAAAACATGTTTTTGAGTATCGTGTTGCTCAAAGAATACAATGTCTATTAAGAAGAAAACAAACCAAAAATTAAGCCTCACCCATCCCTGCCCTGATCTAAATAATAATGAATTTTTCATTCGTTGGCAGACCTAGGGGCGGAGCCTAATTGTTATGTATATTGAGAAAAAAAGGCAAAATATTATTAAAATTACAAAGTTGGTCATCCCAACGGCGTGCCAACTTTCAACGGCGAAGTCAACGGCGAATAGCAACGTCAGCGACAAATTTATAAATCGAGCTTCAGGTTGAACAACACTAAATATTACGAGAATATCATTCATTGCCCTGTATCGACGGTGTAGTTCTTCGTAAAATCTGTCAAGACATTATTTTTATTTCCCAAGCGTAAGTGAAGGAAGTATTGTAATGAAGTCCATCGGCCGACTCTCTACTTTTACATTTTTTGGATCTTTCATGACCCCTAGAGTATAGAGTACGAAGAAATGGGTCTCCCGTTTCGGTCTGTCTGTGTGTCTGTCTGTCCGTCCGTTTGTCTGCCGTTCCGATTTTTTTTTTGTAGGTTTTTGCAGAGTGATTCTTCTGTAAGTATTCTCTAGCTGTGTGAGTGAGTTGTCCCGCCTTTACGCCGCCACTGTGAAAAACCCTATACAAATTAAAACCTGGAGGACGTCACTAAATTAATTCTAGCTCGAATAAATTTGAACTGAAGACAAGCTCAAACAATAGTAAATAAAGCAGGAGAGAAAAGTTAGCGACAAGTGGATATCCAACAACATCCCTTACTTAAATTGTCAACGTTTTGAAGCTTTAGCGACTACATTTAAATGTCAAAACAGAATGACACAAGTGACAAGATAAATATAATTGATTTAAACATTCAGTTGACGTATAAGTGTTAATGGTGTTAACCTAAATTTTTACCACAATGAATTGTGGCTAAACCCACGTCTATTTATAGCTTATAATACATATACAAAATACGAAGATAGAGATATCAATCAACAATAATAAAAAAATACTGATTTTCTTTCCTTCGAAAAGAAAATTTAAAACTAAAAAAACGTTAAATTTGGGTACATGTTACCAACACAAATTGTTGAAGTTTCTAGTCACAGGGATACCAAACGCTTTTTGTTTGCTGATGTTTTAAGGCAAGTAGTAAACAACTAACAAGTTCACCAATGGGAATGCTTTCTTGTTACAAAAAAAAGGAAATTTTTGGGGAAATGCAGTGCTACGTATAGCTGAAAAGTCTTGAAATTTCTGCGTTTGGTGCTTGTACATATTTTTTGTCACCACTGCTTTTTTAACCGTTTTGTATATTATTTTGTTTCCTTTTGTCGTATTACCATTATAAAATGATTGTGTTTTTCTGAAAAGTCCCGTCTATTGTGGGAACTGGATCAAGAAAAAACCACCCATCTACCGCAATTCGTCGACCAGGCGCTAAAACTCCTGAATCTCAAGCAAGTAGCTTTCGAAATCGAGAATTCAGTGATGTCGAAAGTGTCATGCACCGCATGTAAAGCAGGTATACGGAAACAAAACCCCATAAAGGACACACAACCAACTTTCCCGTTTCAGGTGCTGGATTGTTACAGCATTACATAAAAAGCGGCAAATCAGAAAAGGAAATAAAGAAAACCATCTACCAGTTTTGCGTCAACTTGAAAATACAAACGGCGAGAGTGTGTGAGGGAATCACTGAACTTTTCGCTGGAGAAGTGATCTATGTGTTAGGAAAAATTACATTGGGTAGCTAGTTTTAATTTGTTAGTCGTGTGATAATTAAACGATTTTCTAGGACCTGATGAAGTATGCAGTTTCGTAATAGGTGACGCCTGTGGGGATGTTTATAATCCATTACACGAGTGGGAAGTCATGTTTCCACCGGTTCCTAAACCACCAATTACTCAGCAAAAAATTCCAGAAGTAAGATATAAGTGAAATGTTGCGGTTTAATTATGTGTTAATTTTTTTTTTTTTTGCAATAGATGAATGCACCCACTTTCAAGGTTTTGCATTTGTCGGATACCCATTACGACCCATATTACCATGAAGGTAGCAACGCAGATTGTACAGAACCTCTGTGTTGCAGATTAACCAATGGAATGGCTAGTTCTAAGGAACAAGCTGCTGGAAAGTAAATACACTAAATGAAGATTAATTCCAAAAACTATGTATATGAATAATTTTTTTTTCCAGATGGGGCGATTACCGCAAATGCGATACCCCCAAAATCACCGTCGACAACATGCTCCAGCACATCCAAGAAACCCATCCCGTAAGTACCATGCCTCACACCCATCAAACGTCAACGATAACCAGTCCAACGCTATTTCCAGGACATCGATTACATCATGTGGACCGGTGACTTGCCACCTCATGACATATGGAACCAAACGCGTGAAGAAAATTTAAAAATCCTCAAAGAAACAGTGAAACAAATGTCGGATATGTTTCCGGGGGCTCCGATTTTTCCGGCGCTGGGAAACCATGAATCGGCTCCGGTTAATAGTTTTCCTCCACCATACATCGACAATGCGGAGAATTCCATTTCTTGGTTGTATGACGAACTAGATTTACAGTGGAGGAAATGGCTACCGAGTTCCGTGAGCACTACAGTGAGAAGAGGGGCTTTTTATTCGGTTTTGGTCAGGCCCGGATTTAGGCTCATCTCGATTAATACGAATTATTGCAACAACAAGAACTGGTAGGTCGAATGTTCAGATATATGTAGATATAGTTATTTTGTTGTTATCATTATGCACGGTTTAATTAATGTGTTTACTGTGTTTTTAGTGCAAGGTCGTGATTTAATGTGTTTTGCTGTAGATGCATTTTTTAAGTTAAATTAGAATCAAGTCAGTAGTGTTACACAAGATGGTAACTTTTTCGAAACGTTGTCCGAATTTTTGGAAATCTCAAAAATCGAAGTTATCCTATTTTAAACAGCGTTCGGCAAGGAATACCTAAAGTTTATATTTTTGTAAATAACGTACACATTATGCCACGTCTTTAAAATTTTAATGAATGAAGTAAACCGAATGCCGAAACTCCTGAACTCCGCCTTTTGCTTCTAAAAATATGCTATACTTATTTTCTATTTTTATGCTGCTTGTTAACGTATTGATTTTAGAATATAAATAAGTTGTCATGAACACCAAAATTAGAATCTTCGCTATGGTAAGTTTGTGAATTACTGTCATAAAGGTGTGAATTACTGAGTTCAATATAAAAGAGTTATCTAATCAGGTTAGTCCTTTACAAAATTTGATTTGATATTGTCTTAAAGCGTAATATATATTTGCTTTAAAAATTTAGTTCGTCAATATTGCAACACTGTCGTAGTTTTCGGTAGGTAATAAATATTATTTTTGATGTTGCCCGTTTGCAAAGGAATTATGTAATCATAATTTATCTCGTCGTGCACAAGTAGTTCGTCGCCTGAGAACTTGTTTGATCTACAGACCAGAGCGCACTCAGGCCAATATCGACTCTAAGCGATTTATCTGTAAACCGAGTTTCGTTAGAGCTGATCTGATACACATCCACTACGAAGAACTAACCCGTTTCGATCATCTGGTCGGAATTTAGAACGAATAAGTGAACAAAGCTCTTGAACATCTTAACGATTTAATACATAATGTTCCCGAATGACAAAATTTACATTTCAAATTGTATTTTCAAATGGTAATCTCTAAATTTTACAATAGTAGATGTACTTTAAATTTTATATCTTTCGTTTACGGTTTATGAATCCGTGTTGTGTTTTTACTTTAGACGTCAAGATTTTTGGAAAAAGATCAACATTTTCCAATTTATAATTATTGGAAGCATGTTAAATCGTTAGTCAAAATTTATCCGTTCATGCGCCCCAGGAATTGTTGATGTCATCTTACAATTTTGTCGAATAGATGTTGTTTAAATGTTAAAAAGTAGCATAGTCCTGAACTTGTGGTTTATAAATACGCTATTGTGATTTTTTGAGTTTTAGATGTTTCGATTTTTCAACTTTAGATGTCTCATTTTTTCAATATTTCAACTTTGGGCTTTTTCAATTTTTCTTCAAATTTTAGATTTTTCGATTTGTCAATTTTCCGATGTTTCAATGATATGATTTCTCAATTTTTGTCCTCTTCAATTTTACGCTTTTTAAATATTTCGATTTTTCAGTTTTTTGATTTTTCAATTTTTCGACTGTTGTATACTTCGATTTCTAAATTTTTGACCTTTTCGATGTTTTAATTTTTCAATTTTTAAATTTCTAGGTTTTTCGATTTCTCGAGTTTTCAGTTCTTGTATGTATATTTCAATTTTTCGAATTTTTAAATTTTCGGTTTTCCAATATTTCTTTTTTAAAACTTTTACATTTTTAAATTTTTTGATTTCTCGATTTATCGAATTTAGTTTTTTCGATGTTTTGATTGTTTTGTTTCTCGATTTACCAATTTTTCAATTATTAACTTTTCTTCTCGGTTTCGACTCCTCGATTTCTCGATCCTCTGATTTTTCGATTTCTCGATGTCTCAGTTTTTGAATTTTTCGTTGTTTCGATTTTTGGATATCTCGGATTTTTTACTTTTTGGCTTTTCAATTTTTCGATGTTTGGATTTTTTAGTTATCCGATTTTTCAATTTTTAAGTTCTGGAGTTTCGATTTCTCGATTTGAAGATTTTTCAGTTTTTAGATTTTTAAATTTTAGATTTTCGAATTTTTGTTTTTTGATTTTTGAATGTCTGGATTTCTCGATTTTTCAATTTTACGATATATTAATTGTTCAGTGTGTTAAATCTGAGATTTTTCGATTTCTCGATTTTTTGATTTTTCAGTTCTTCAGTATTTCTATTTTTCAATTTTTCAAATTTTGACGTTGCTTTATTGGTATTTTTAATTTCTCAGTTTTTGGATATTTCTTTCAGTTTTAGGATTTTTCAATATTTCGATTCTTCGATTTTTCGACTTCTGGATTTTTCGATTGTTTATTTTTTGGATTCTCAGTTTTTCGTTTTTTGAACTTTGGATTTTTCAATTTTTCGACTGTTTTGTTTGTAACTTTTATATTTTGATTTCTCAATTTTTCAAATTTTCGATATTTTAATTTTTCAATGTTTAAAATTCTAGGTTTTCCGATTTCTCGAGTTTTCAGTTCTTCTAAGTGTTTCAATTTTTCAAATTTCCAAATTGCGATTTTTCAATTTTTTGGGATATCGATTTATCGAGATTCGGATGTTTGGATGGTTTGATTGTTCAATCTCTCGATTTATCAGTTTTTCCATTTTCAAATTCTGGATTTTTTCATTATGGCCTATTTCGGTTTTTCAATTTTTCGATTTTTCAATTTTCGAAATTTTTAAATTTTCGATTTTCCATTTTTTTTCGTTTTTTAATTATCCAATTGTTCAATTTCTCGATTTTAAATTTTAGATTTTTTGATTTCTCGATTTTTCAGTTCTTCAGTATTCATATTTTTCAATTTTTCGAGTTTTTAATTTTGCCATCTTGGTTTTTCGATTTTTAGATTTCCCATTTTTTAAGTTTTTAATTTCTGGTTTTTTGAATTTTAAATTTTTTGTTTTTCGATTATTCAATTTTTCAATTTTTGGCAAGTTCTCAGGCGACGAGTTATAAAATTCAATTAAAAATATCTCCTGGAGACCTTTTCTTTAACAACAAAATCCTAAGTAGGTCGTTCAGTTGAAGAAGTCATCAAGTTGGCGTTGCTTTTTTGATAGAAGAGAACGAAACGGAAAACGTATGTGTGTTATTAATCCATACTGTTGTGTATAACTGACATTCCCACGTTGGCAGCTGACATCGATTAAGTATATTTTAAGTTTATCACAGACGTACTTCACAATGTTTACAAAAATCGAAGCCAACTTGTTGACTTTTGCAATTGAATATTCGATAGGTCATTAACATACCCTTTTATGTTTATTTCACTTGCAAAAAAATAATTTAGAATGGATTATTTCGTGATTTCCCCCTATTAAAAAAAAATAACATTTTCGTATTTGTCACTTCATTTTTATGCATAAATCCAAGTTATGAATGTGCTTAATTACTTCGTAGACCGAAATTCACGAAGATATTATATTATTACAAAATAAATCCATACGACGCCTATGGGTTTTCTAGTATGTGCGGCTATGATGACTCATCGTCGGTGACGGCGGCCGGGCGGCGTTCGCTAAAGAAAAGCCTGGAAGGGGAACTCGCGATGTGTATTCCAGAAAGACCGCCGAACGTCTAGAAGGAAGTATGGATTTAAATAGAGGTCACCTTCGGGAACGATTATTATTCAGCCAATTCAATCAAGACAGAATTACGCGGGCATTATTTTGTACATAATCGCTGTGCAGTTAGTCGTGTAAATTTGCCGATTTTAAATCAGCGATCATCGTAACAATATTAATTGAACAGATAATAATTTTCGAGTCCTTTCTCTCAAAATGGATGAATGTTTGAAATGAGTTTAAATGCCATAAATGAACTAAGTACTTTAAAATCTGGACTGAGAAGTATTGAAGTGTGAATAATGTGATAACTCAAGTATTTGAAAAGATATTTATTCGGAACTTTTAGATATCATGACCCTGAATAAATGAATTTCCGGCACGTGTTTTATATGAATATTTTCCATTATTGTTGCAAAAATCGCATTAGAAACATGAACTATGAATTTACAAATCATAAAAACAAAAATCACATTTGTTTATAGAATAGTCAAAATTGTGAAAATTTGGTTATGGATCGGATGCCTGTCAGTAGAGATTATAAAAACTAATCTAAATAGGTTGAGGTCCATGTTTCAAGAAACATGAAAAACGAAATTTAATTTCGTTTGATTGAATTAGAACTAGAAAATTATTATTAAACAGATTTTACATTAATTACACTTTTTGAGGACAATGGCGTCGAATGCGATTAATTTTTGTTTAAACAATTGCTCTTTTATGAAATTACAAAATAAATTTCACATGCCTTTGGTAACATTGTTTCGTTGATGACATAACAAGTGGTGAGACCCTTTTTAAAACCACCTGCGTTGACCTGCATTCCAATCCCCCTACCCCCAAACTGAGCGTAACCCGTGACATTCGTCTACTTCGCTAAACTATCTAGAGCATGGGTGGTTGCCTACGTTATTTTGATTATTCTTATTTTTAATTTTTTAATAGCGGTTTCGGGGTCGTTTTTTCTCGGCGCGAAATTTAAATTTCAAATTCAACATATCACAGCCATTTTTTTTATATGATATAACTACCTGTATTAGCTAAAATAAAAATGGAAAATACATAAATAATAAATCAATCCTGGTTAAATTTGATAAAATAACTTGCTTTTGTACTTGTGGTTTATTAATGCACCCTTATTTTATATCTTAGACTAGTTCCGATAACAGAGAAAATAAAAATTCAGCACCCTCTTAAATCTCGACAACTTCACTAACAATGTTTGTCTTTTTAGGTGGCTCTTGCTAAATAGTACCGACCCAGCGACAGAACTCCAGTGGTTTATTTATGAGCTCCAATCAGCAGAATTTAATAACGAAAAAGTACATGTTATAGGTAATTTTCAGTGGTTTTCACAGCGTCATTTATATTGATGTTTGTTTTTTTGAAGGTCACATACCCCCCGGACACTCTGACTGTTTAAAAGTATGGTCTAGAAATTACTACGCAATTGTGAGTAGGTACGAAAACACGATCACTGGACAGTTTTTCGGTCACACCCATTTTGATGAATTTGAAGTTTTCTATGACCATAAAGATTTAAGTAACGTTTTTAGCCCCCTAGTAAATTTAATAGTAACTGTGTGCGTATTTTCAGGTAGGCCAAACAATATAGCATTTGTAGGTCCCTCGGTTTCACCCTACTACGATTTAAATCCAGGATACAGGATATATTATGTAGACGGAGACCATGACAAGTCTACCAGGGTACGTTGTACTCAAACAAATAAAACAAACTCAGTGTGAATTGCAGGCTGTTATTGATCACGAATCGTGGACTATGAATTTGCGTGAGGCTAATTTGTATGGATACCCTATATGGTTTAAACTGTATTCGGCACGACAAGCTTTTGGAATGGATGCGTTACGACCGCTCGATTGGGATAATTTAATTGACAGAATGACAAATGATGCAAAATTATTTGAATTGTTTTATAAGTAAGCAGACGATTATAAAACTCGCATTAGGAAATTGCTAAAAAGTGTGATTTTTGTTTGTGTTGTAGATATTATTATAAAGCGAGTCCTGTAAGACCTTCCTGCGACATGACGTGTAAAAAAAAAATTTTATGTGACTTGCATTCTGGACGATCGCACGACAGAAAAAATCTTTGTCAATCCATTGAATCTAGAATAGATTCTTCGAATAATACGACATGGAAGGAGTGGTTTTATAATACAATATCTGTGTCGTAAGTATATGTATATACATTTAGCAATTAGAAATTTTCTTTGTAAATATCGCGATAAAAAATTAAGAATTTTGCGTCTGATTACACAATATACACATACTTGTTTTACAGTTATAGAAAGAATTAATAACAAATACTTCTTTAATCTTCTCTTATAGAGTGGTGTAGGGACCTTAGATCTGCAACATATACGCAATACGTTTCTCTACTGGGTAAGGTGTTTTCTGTGTTAAATAATTTTCACTTGCTTTATTTTACACATTAACAAATTTTCTGATAGATGAATATTTGTGCACAATCAATTCTAAGCTGTTATTTCTTTTTTTGACTAATGTAGAGTTTAAGCGGTTGTGCAAAAATGTTGTTTTATGATTTTAGGATGTCCGTTTTGTGGTCCATCCCAAGATTAACGATTCAACTACCAAAGTATGTGTTGGGTCTCGGCTAACTCATTATTTTTAGAAATTTTACTTATTCAAGTCATTAGGAAAATATTTAACATTTCATCCACTCTTATTATCTTTTCTTTTTTTTATCATCATTTAATGAGGGCTGTGTATTTTTGATATGATCAAAAAATACCAACATTATTATATAATAGGTCAACCGTCACTGCTAATATTTAGTTAATTTATTTATTTGTGTGTGTATAATTTTAGGGTGAAATTTTTTATTGAACTATTAACATCATTTGAAAAATTTCACTTTTAAAGTTATATTTTTATATTTGGTAGTTCAGTCTTAAATTGTAATTTACTAGTGATGTACAAATTGAAATTGTTATTATTTGTTACAAAATAAAACAAACTTAACCCATGTATCGTTATTTATTTAAAAATCAAGATGTATAAATTATCTGTACGTTCCATTTTGGTGTTTGGTAATGAAGAATACAGTGTCAGAAACGTGCTACAATTATGTAGAGAAAAAACTTGACTACTACCTATTTTCTACAGAACGTTTAAGGTTTAACAGCTATTTGTAAAATAAAGATTTGTTAACAAACATCCATTGTGTGTTTTTTCTATTTTTATCACTTTTTTTCTTGTAATTTTTCATTAGTACAAAGGTACCCAGTAGTGTAATTTTTTGTTAAGTTCCTCTGAATATGAATGATAACCATTGCAACATCCATTGTTTTATTGCTGCCTAATCTTAAAAAATTCCATTTTGTGAGTCACTAATGTTTCACCTACAAACTGAAGTACACTAAACATTAGATAAACAAACTAATATTCTAATGTTTAATTTGAGAGAATGAATTCCGTTTAAGTTGAGACTACCAAAATATTGTCTTCATTCGTGTAGTCAACCAACAATACGTTACGTGGCTGTTCAAAATTCACACTCATTGTATTTTGTAAAACATTGGACAGGATAAAAAATAAAAACGGATTCATAAACCACAAGTACACTTACCATGCAAAATTTTGAGGTGACGTCATCAAAGTGTTGGTGCGGATGTTCAGACAGGTTTTGGTTATGTTTAAATACGAGGATGCAAATTTAATTTTTTTTTTTTTCATTTTCTGTGTGCAGATTGTTTTTTAAAAAGGTAAGCTTCTAAACTACCTTTGTAAATAGTTTGATGTATAAGTTTACCTAAAAATTTCCGTGCTAAACGCAAATTTATCAACTTAAGAAATTACCTAATAATGTTAAAAACGTCATAGGTAGATTATTTCAAAATTTATAAACGTGAAATTTTTATTTTATTTCCCTCAACGTTAATTTTTTTATATTTACAATTTTTATATTTTTTATCAATTGAAATTGAAATAAATATGTAAGTGCAATTTCACTTTTTAAACCTGATAAATTAATATGTAATAGGGTGTTCAGAATAACTCATCTCAAAATCATTTTCTTTAGATCTAATGTGTATTAGATTGATTTAGATAATGAAAAATTCACCTTTGGCTCATGAGGCTGCGCTGAATTCTTTTGTGATCTGACTTCTTCATGAGTTTCATTTTAAACAATTTATCAAGTATTTCTACGCATACATTGTATACTTCAATCGAATTATTTCCAGCATTTCTGAACGCAATTAATAGATCAAGACGTTCTACCATTTCATTCGGATCTGAAAAAATACCGCTTCCTGTTTGTTCATAGAAAGAAATTTTTCGAATATCTTCTAAAACACTTTTATTTTTCTTAACTGTTAATACACATTGTAAATTATCAATTTTTTCTTTTTCTTCTTTTTTCTTTGCGTTTGTAATGTGTGCATTTAATGATTTTAATTTAAGCTGATATTTCGGGTATCGTTGTATCAATTTTTGCATTTCGACTTCCTATGTCTAACGATAATAAATGTGAAGGTTTTTCAAATTTAAATTGTTTTTCAGTAACATCAAAGTTTAAATTTTTATTCGGATCTAAACTTTTGGAGGTATGCGCTGGAGGTGTTTTTGGTAATGGTAATAAATGAACCGATTCGCTTAGATCATTGGCTTCTGCATTCTTCGAAACATTTTTGTCTTCTTCCTCGATTGCTAAGACATATTTTGGATTCGCTTCGCTCATAAGGACTTTGTCCGAATTAAGAATTTGTTGTGTAAATTCACTAATATTTTCAAGTTTATCTTTCTTCTGTAGTTTTTTAATTTCTTCCTTAGTTAAATGTTCTTTAAATTGTTTTAAATGAATTCTATTTTTTATAATTTCACGATTTTTTAAACAGCGTCAATTATTTCAGTTTTACTATCGGTGTTAGGCATTTATTTAAGTGAAAAACACTTCAAAAAACAGATCTACTTAGTAATTTAACTTGTTAAAATAAATCTTAGCAAGTATTAGCCTCGTTCACCCGCCCTCTATTTTCTTTAATAGGCATGGCATTTGCCAAAATGCTAGTATTTGCTAAGACTAATTTTGGCAAAGACATAATCTTCTGAGAAATTAGGGGGTGGGTGGGCGGGGATAGTACTTGCTAAGATAAAACTGATTTTGGCAAATGCCATACTCTCTAAGAAAATAGAGGGCGCGTGGGCGGGGCTAGTCCTTGCTAAAATAAGACTAATTTTGGCAATTGACCTATCCTCTGAGAAAATAGGGGGCAAATCTAAAAAATATGAATGTAATGATAAATCACAAGTAAAAACTCATCATCCTGTGCACATTTTGGGTAGAATTTATTCAGCAAAATTTTGAGATGACGTCAGCAATTTCTTGGGGGGAATAAACAGATATATTTTGGTTACATGCTTACAATAACTTTAAAACATTTCAAAGTATTCATTTTTGCAATCTTGATTTATTCAGTAAAATAAATTGATTGATTCACTAATTTTTTTGAGTCGCAAAACCAACAAATATGAATCGAATGATAAATGACAAGTATAGACTCATCAAATTTTGGACATTGGTTTATTTGGAGGATAAGTAAATATATTTTGATTAAAAATTTATTATGCTTATCATAACTTTAAAATATTTTCACGATTTCAAAGCATTCGGTTTTGCAGATTCAAAATTAAATTGCAAAATGTTTTTTATGTTTTTGATTTTTTTTTTCCGAAAATCTGGACGTTTCGGGTAAAAATTCAATTCGGAGCCATAAACTACATGTGTAGGACTATGTTATGTTATACAATTTAAAATCCATTTACTATGTACGATTTTGAAGTGACGTCATCACTTTATTGGTGGGGATGATTAGAAAAATTTTGGTGAGCGTTTTACCATCTACATGATCTTCCTAATGTAAATACAAAATTTGACAGCAATCGACCCAGTACTTTCGCAGATTATCTGTCTAATAAAAATCCGGGACGGCAGACAGACGGACAGACAGATGGAAACGGGAGACCTATTTCTTCGTACTGTAGGCGTCATGAAAGGTCGAGAAAGCGTAAAAGGAGAGAGTCGGCCGACGGACTGGATTACAATACTTCCCTCGCTTACGCTCGGAAAGTAAAAATGGAAGATACGACGTATGGGATAAAAATTCACCTCGTTGAGGAATTTACACAGTTCCAAATTAGTAGGCAGAAAACAACGATGGCTTTTGTGGGCAAATGCACTTTGTTAATAAATGCAATCGTTATAAATACTCGTACAAGGATAGAAGCCGCAAACGGAGTTATATCAATCATTCCGTTCCCGGTATTTGAAATGGGCCTTGTAGGATTTCGGATTTCTAGCTCTAAAGATTTACTTATTTTCGACTCGGCCGATGAGAAAATGGAAGTCATTGGCATGCTTAATTTGTAAATTTAAAAAAAAAACGGTAATTGTTCACTTTACGCACTTGTCGAATTTTCTACTGCATCCATTTACGATAGTCCATTAATTCTAAATTGGTTGTTTTGTTCTTGCAGAGTTGAAGATACTCCGAGTTCGAATGAAAGTGTAATGTATAATAAAATAATAAAAATTTCTAATAAAGAAAATTTTATAGCATGGAAATCGAGTTTTGATGAAGTGATGTTTTTCCAATCTCCAAGAAGAGCACAAATCTTTTTGTTAACAATTGCGGTATGTAATGAAAAGAGATTTTCGCGAATTCTAAGTGTTATTATTATTATTATTACATTAAGTTGAACAACAGACTTATGCCCAATTACATTTCAACTATTAAAATAAAAGGGTATGTAAATAAAGAAGTAAATCCAGTCGATTTAAGCTGAACTATAGTTCCAGCAGCTGCAATTACTACTGTCCTTATAATAAGGAGAGCTTAATCTGACTTTAAATATAATGCATTACAAAACTGAATGTCTATGCGAGGAGTCATCAAATAAAAACAACAATAGGTGCGAGAAGACAACCTAGGAATACTAAAGCATATTTTACTTAGAAGATTAGGACAATCAATTTGGGAGTGCATTAATTTTCTAAGAAAATTCAGCTAAAAGTAAATTTAGATCACTCCAACGGAAAAGGTTAAATAAACCATTTTGTAGCATCAAGCATCAGCATATAAGACCTGATCGTAGATGATGTATGTAGATAGCAAAGGAAAGGGGCCCTAAAATTGAACCCAGAGGCACTCCACACCGAACGAGAACTTTTACATTCATGTCCCCTAAATTTGAAAAACCTATGTTGTGTAATTTTGCTAATAAAATTTGATGGTTTAACCTATCAAAAGCTTTAGAGAAATTTATATATGCTACGTCAACCTGCAGCTTCGCATCTAAAGAATCCGAGATGAATTGAGTAAATGCACACAAGTTTGTTACTTTCCCTCGACCACCAACAAACCCATGTTGAAATTTTTTGATTTTATTTTTGATGTCGAAGAGAAGAGATAACTCAAAAGTTTTTGCAAAATTACAAATCAAAGAAATAGGTCGATAATTCTCAACTTCACCTCTGTTCCCATTTTTGAAGATTGGTGAAACATCCTTTAGCTTTTCTGCATAAGTTATGGCAGGATCACGGATTTCAGGATGCTGTTTATTCGCAAGTGTGCGAATTTCTTCGCGTAATAAAGAATTTTGATGTTGTAGGTAAATCAGTATTTTTAGTATTTAACGAAGCAAAATGATCCAGCATGAGCAAAGTCAGAAAAAGCATCACGTATAGAGATGGAAAGATTTTTAAAAGTACCTTCAAATTTATCTTCCAGGGCATGTTTGGTACCACTACCATCTAAAGAAACAGCAGAATTCACGTCCTCAAGTAGTCAATCCACGTGAAGATTGCAGAATTTTAAAAGTATTTTTATCAGTTACGGCATTTTATTGCCATATTTATGAAAACAGGCCACAACCTTTAGGCAAAACACCCAGCAAAAAGAAACCCAGATAGCGATAATGCAGTCAATGGCGAAAAAGAACGAAAAAAAATTCGCCTTAAAATTTGTTTATACTTATCTCAAACAATTATTGATGTATGAATTTATCCAAAACTGTAATAAAAACTACTAGAATCACTCAAAAATTAGACAAAAACACAGAGAGCACTTGAACGAACCGTCTCACACCGTGTCACACCGGATAAGTGTTTTTAA